GAATTTCCACTCTCGCCCCTTATTTTAAACCTGCTTCTGTGGACTTACGGAGACGCGCAAGAACCAGACAAGATTACTAAAGCGCTCCCCGGAGCCCAGGGACACACACAACGGAACTTGCCCACGACACGCTTTTCCCTTTCGGACAGCCATGACGCTCAGATTACCAAAGGATACAGATTCCTGCGGCGGCAACTCCTAGCCCGAGCGCTAAGGCGTTGTTGCGAGTGTTCATCCCTCGCCGAACCATCCCCATGCCCGGCCCTGGATTAAATCCAACGGGTGCCATTCTTTGTGGTTTGGCATTCATTGGCGGCACGCGCGAAAACTCTCCTCCTTGTTGCGGCGCCGACATCTTTCCCAGGACCTTGACAAGAAAGTAGACATCAACTCCAGAAGACAGTGAGGACCGCGCAGCCATCTTTGGTGAGGGCTATGACCTACGCTTGTCACGATGTCAGCCATTTTAAAAAAGAACCCGACTGTTACTGGGACGATTACGCTTTTTTTGCCATCTTTGGTGAGGGCAAACACTAAGTAAAAGGGGCGGAGTCACATATATTTTAAACTGACTATTTATGTCATAAACTTTATGACACGGTATGATAGGTGAGGAATTGAAAAGAGTTTAACCTTAAATTAATTATGTATCTTTTTTCTGCCCTTCAAAGTGAAGGTTAAAAACTTGGAGAAGCATAGTTTTTCTTTCTTTGACTAGCTATTTAATATACTCACTATATCCACACATTCTAATTGAGTTTAGCAATTTAATGGTACAACTCTGAACGTATTTCCTGTTGTCCTCAAAAGTGGGACTTTTTAAATAAGGTTGCTGTTAATTTTCTAAAGATAGGCTTATATGAAATATATTACTAGCCATATTGTGACCCAAAGGTGCTTTTTCACAAGGCAACTGGACTTTCTTGTTTTTCTTTGAAGACATTTTGCTTGTCATCCAAGAAGCTTCTTCAGCTCTGACTGGATGGAAATGGAAGGATTTATACTCCTTGCAGAGAGCTGGTCATTTGCATTCTTTCAGAGGATCGTTGGGCCCATTTGGAGGTTATCTATGTCCTCAGGGTCACCTGAGTAGTGCAAATGGGTGTGTAGCCTTCTTGGAACTGCTGAAAGGACTGTATTGTAGACTGGAGATAGATGATATTGTATCCCTCCCCCTCTGTTGAGAGAGGGCTGTTCAATTTTGGCATAGATGGCCTCTTTGACTCCTCTTTCAAACCAGTGGTTCTCTCTGTCCAAAATGTGGACTTGGCTGTTTTCAAAAGAGTGGCCTTTGTCTTTTAAATGTAGATGGATTGTTGAATCTTGTCCTAATGGGTTTGTTCTTCTATGTTATGACATACGTTTATGAAGTGGTTGTTTTGTTTCCCCAATGTACAGATTTGCACATGTATGAGGTCCTGCCTCAGCTATCTTCTCAGAAAAGTATGACTCTTCCATGTAGGTAAGGACATGAGCTAGGAAGAACCCAAGTTATTGAGGGTGTCCGTCAAACTTCATGCCCAGGGGGATGCCTTGTGTTTTCGCTGAGCCACGCCATCACCTAGTCTCAGGCATTCCCCCTGCATCCCCTTGCGGGATCCCCATCATGGCTGCCGCTCCCACCTACATTTTAGCCACCGCCTCCGTAACCTCTAGGGATGAGGGTTTCCCCTCCTCCACTCTCTGATCAATGCTGACAGCCATCGCCCCCTGACATTCGGGGTAAGGCCTCTTGCTTTCAGGTTCTGGAATGAAGGTTCTGGAAACAATGAAGGTTTTTACAGACAGAAACACGGCTGCACCATGGGTTCACCTGTGTCCCCCATTGTGGCCAATCTCTACATGGAAAAGGTAGAAATCAAAGCCCTAAATTCCTTCACAGGAATTCCACCCACTCACTGATATAGGTATGTGGATGATACTTGGGTCAAAATGAAAACAAAATGTGGATGATACTTGGGTCAAAATGATACTTGGGTCAAAATGGAAACGTTCACCAAACACATCAACTCTGTGGACAGATACATCAAATTGATAGGGGAAGATGTTAAGAAAAATAGTCTGGCCTTCCTGGACTGTGCAGTATACATTAAGGAAGACAGAAGCCTTAATATTGAAGTTTACAGAAAACCCCCACACATTGATCAATATTTATATTTTGATTTTCATCATCCACTGGAGCACAAAATGGGAGTTATCAGAACCCTACACCACAGAGCTGAAGGTCTGCCTGCTAGCAAAGATGGGAAAGAAAAAGAACTAAAACATATCAAGGAAGCCCTCAGAACATGTGGCTATCTCAAGTGGGCCTTCAACAAATCCCAAAAAGGACTCAGTAGGAGCTCCTTCATAACAGACAAAGAAGGAAACAATAAATGAAGCAACATTGTCATTCCATACATTGCAGGAATATCGTAAAAGCTCAAGAGGATCTTCAGCCAATACAATACTCGTGCACATTTCAAACCCATGAATACACTAAGACAGAAGCTTGTCCATCCCAAGGTTAAATCACCCAGACACAAACTGATATATGCAGTATAATGCAGTGAGCCATGTGCAGATCTGTACACTGGGGAAACAAAACAACCACTTCATAAACACATGGCACAACAGAAGAAACCCATCAGGACAAGATTCAGCAATCCATCTGCATTTAAAAGACAAAGACCACTCTTTCGAAGACAGCCAAGTCCACATTTTGGACAGAGAGAAGAGGGGTCAATGAGGCCATCTATGCCAAAATTGAATAGCCCTCTCTCAACAAAGGGGGAGGGATCCAACATCATCTATCTCCAGTCTACAACACAGTCCATTCTGCAATTCTAAGAAGGCTCCACACCCATTTACACTACTCAGGTGACCCTGAGGACACAGATAAACCTCCATGTGGCCTCAATGACTCTCTAAAAGAATGCAAATGAGCAGCTGTCTGCAAGGAATATAAATCCTTCCATTCTCTACCATCTAGTCCAGGGGTGTCAAACTGCCAACCCACAGGCCAGTTGCATCATGCAGAGGCCGTGCCCACTCCAGCTCCGGCAATGTGAAAAAAATCGTGATATGTCACGACACATCATGTGACGCAGTGAGTTTGACAGCTGTGATCTAGTCAGAGCTGAAGAAGCTTCTTGGATGATAAGCAAAACATCTTCAAAATAAAACAAGTAAGTCTAGTTGCCTTGTGAAAAAAGCACCTTTGGGATAACTATGACCTGGATGACTGAGAATCTCCATAGACATTTAACCATATCATGAATGTATCTACTGCTTCGGTATCCAGGGTGCCCTTTTCTTCTCTCTCACCCATCAATTAATTTATTTATAATTTAATTTATACCCCGCCCTTCTCCTCATGGGACTCAGGGCGGCTAACAGCCTCATAAAAACTACAATACAAATACAATAATTAAAAGCCGAATTAAAAAGAAATATTTAAACAGGCCGATCAATTAAAATTATCCTTAAAAATCCCCTGAAACTTTAAAATCATTAAAAATTATCCCTATTTAA